GAGAGAGGGAACACAAGCAGGTGAGTGGGAGAGGGAAAAGCAGGCTCCTGCCAAGCAGGGAGCCTGATGTGGGGCTCGATCCCAGGACCCTGAGATCATGACCTGAGCCGAAGGCAGACGCTTAACGACTGAGCCACCCAGGCGCCCCACACATTTATTTTCTATTTTCTTTATCATAAAGAGAGCACAGCAACATTATGATCCCAACACTGAAGTAATCAAATTGTACTAACAAAAAGTTCTTTTAAGTGATTAATACCATTTCACTGACCCTATGAGAAATAACTTGTTTGCCTGCATACACACACACACACACACACACACACACACACACAACATCAGCTAAATTTGGCAACCACCATCCCACAGGAAATATTTACACATAACTCTAAAATCTGGCAAGCACTTATTATGTTCCTACTGTGCTGTTTGTTATAAAAGACACAAAGAAAGTGTAAGCATAGCCAGTGGCACTGAACTGCTTAGTTCATAGGTGTAGATTAAAGTTATATATTTAACGAGTAAATTATAAAGCAAACAAAGACAAGATGTAAATTAGTGCATGATTTAGCAGTGTATCTCATATACTTATGTGTCATAGGAGATTTGGTGAAATGGGAAATGTAGTTAATGTGATAATGGTTCATAGATGAAATAGATTTTATGAAAATAAAAAATTTGGGTGATGGCAATGGTATGAATTTATACAATTAGAATCAATCTTCATTCTTGGTTTTTTAATTGAACAAAATTATGTAACATGTAAACACAAAAATGGGAAGATTTACCTGTGCTTTTTGTGATGGGGAAAGGACAATTTCGTCAATAAATGGTGTTGGAAAAACTGTACAGGCACATGCAAAAGAATGAAACTAGACCACTATCTTGTACCATACATAAAAATTAATTCAAAATGGATCAAAGACTTGAACATAAGACCTGAAACCATAAAACTTCCAGGAAAAAACATAGGTAATTTTCTTGGTCTCACACCAAAAGCAAAAATAAACCAGTGGGACTATATCAAACTAAAAAGCTTCTGCACAGCAAAGGAAACTTCCATCAACAAAATAAGAAGGCAACCTACTGAATGGGAGAAAATATTGGCAATCATACATCAATATCGTATGTCTAATAAGGGATTAATATCCAAAATATATAAAGAACCTATACAACTCAGTAGCTTTAAAAAAATCTGATTAAAAAATGGGCCAAAGACCTGAACAGACATTTTTCAAAGAAGACATACAGATGGCCAACAGGTACATGAAAAGATGTTCAACATCACTAATCATCAGGCAAATGCAAATCAAAACCACAATGAGATACCACCTCACACCTATGAGAATGGTGATTACCAAAAAGACAAGAAATAACAAGTATTGGAGAGGATGTGGAGAAAAAGGAATCCTTGGGCACTGTTGAAGGGAATGTAAATTGATACAGCCACTGTGGAAAACAGTACTGAGGTTTCTCAAAAAGTTAAAACTAGAACCACCGTATGACCCAGCAATTCAACTTCAGGGTATTCTTCTGAAGAAAACAAAAATACTAATTCAAAAAGACAACTGCAACCCTACATTCACTGCAGCATTATTTACAATAGACAAGATAGGGAAATGACCTAAGTGTCCATCGATAGATGAACGGATAAAGAAAATGTGGTATGTGTGTGTATATAGATAGATACAGATATTATTCAGCCACAAAAAAGAATTTACTTTTGCCATTTGCAACAACATGGATGGACCTTGAATGCATACTAAATGAAATATGTCAACCAGAGGAAGAAAACACCATATAATCTCACTTATATGTGGAATCTTAAAAAAACAAAAAACAAAATACCAAGTTCACACAGGTGGGTGCCAGAGGGAGGAGGTATAAGGGATGGGAGAAAGTGGTGACAGGGGTCAAAAGGTATAAACTTCTCATTAGAAAATGAATGAGTCATGGGGATATACTGTACAGCATGATGACTATATTTAATAACACTGTATTGCATATTTGAAAGTTGTTAAGAGAGTGAATCTTAAAAGTACTCATCACAAGAAAAAAAAATTTTTAACTATATATAGTGATGGATGTTAACTAGAATTATTGTGATCACTTTGCAATGTATACAAATACTGACTCATTATGTTGTACACCTGAAATATAATATTATATGCCAATTATACCTATCATGATGGTATGAATTAATATAATCAGGATTAATTTGTTCTTGGTTCCTTAATTAAACAAAATAAAGTAACATCTAAAAACTATAGAAATGGTAAGATCTACCTGTGCTTTTTCTGATGTTTCATGAAGGGATACTATTTCAGACCTCAAAAATCCATTTTCTTCATGTTCCTTGTTGAAAGACCTCTGCACATTCTATAAGAGCAAAAACAATAATAAGTTCTCTCCTTTTTTTACATGTAAGAGCTATTACGAATATCTCTATCAAAATACCTGTTCTGTATTTTGGCTACTATGAGTTCAAGTTCTTTTTTTCTTCTTTTTTTTTTTTATTATGTTCAATTAGTGAACATATAGTACATAATTAGTTTTTGATGTTGTGTTCAAAGATTCGTTAGTTGCATATAACACCCACTGCTCTAGTACTAATGATATATATAGATAAGTGTCTTGTAAAGAATTTTTAAAAATCTTGATATCTTCAACTCTCAAACTTCTCTTTTTAAATAAATTATAAAATTGTTTATTAAAAATGTTCTCATATGGAATTTCAAACTGGAAAGAATTTGCCTAAAACCATGCTGTAAATATTTAACTAGCATCCTCAAGTCAAGAAAGTTCTGCTAAGACGAATATTTGTTAGTTTATATTATAAACACATTATTTTCCGTAAGCAGTTAAGATCATTTGTGATTTCAAAGAAACACATTCAAAGATCTTTTAAAGTTTTAAGTACGTGAACATGTTTTCATCAAGGAATACCTGGGTGTGGAGCAAAAGAAAACACCTTTGCTCTAAAAACAAAACAAACAAACAAACAGGTGACAGGGATGTGAGTTGTGGGTTAGGCTTTCCCTAACAGGTAGTTATTGAAATGGGGAATGGCAAAGTGCAAGTCCTCTCCCTATGGAGAGAGGACCTCTCTTCTATTTTTCCAGGAGAAGCATCTCAAGGCTTAACGTAAACATCACCTACTACAGGATGAGATAGAACCCAGAAAAATTATTCCAAACAGGATCTACACATTAAGGTTGATTTAGAAATGTATTAAGATATAAATGTGGTAATAGTTCTTTTTTTCATTTTTTATTGTGGTAAAATATAAATAACATAAAATTTCCCATTTTAATCATTTTTACATGTACAGTTTACTTAAGAATATTTGTGTTAATTTCAGTGGCATTAAGTATATTCACATTGTTGTGCAACCATCGCTACCAAAAAGTAGTTAATATTTCTTATATTTCATAAAAAACTTTTTCATAACAATTATTTTGCAATAAAGATAAAATGCAAATTAGTCTCATAATTTTTGCTAACTCATCTTTTTATCAAGCCGCAATAACCTGCGTGAAATGATTTCCTAATACCCAGTTGACAACAGGTCTGAATATACAACTCATTTACACTGCAACTTTTTTCGAATAAAGACTTCAGGAGAACCAGAACAATTGTAAACCAACACAAGTGAGGAAATACTACTTAGTGAGAGAGGAAAGAACATCTCTGAACTTTACAACCTCAAAACTCACCTTATTTTCTTCAACCAACTTGGAAATGAGCTCATCTCTAGAAACTAAAAACAAAGAGTCCACATAACTATGGTAATAATAACTTACTACAGCGACATTGAAATCACACAGTATCATCTCCTGGAGCAACTTGCTTTCTTTTTTTCCCCAGTCTGTATGTTGTGTAAATAAGGAGAATGCAAATATTTCTACCATATGTTTATAGACTGGAAATTAAGTCATGAAATTATCAAGAAAATAGTCCACAGTCACGTGCAATTGTCAATGACGTCATATTTTACTCCAGGCATAGAGGTTGATGTGTCTGAGCGATTTTAAAGTGGAGAGGCACCTGATCAAAAGCTTTTTGTTAGAGAGAACACTCTAACAGAGGCTCAATAAGGAAGAGGATATCAGTTTGTAGCTGTGCAGTAACCAAAGTATAAAACAATGAAAGCTGGCTCTAAGGGAAGGACAATGAAGATGCAAAGGGAAAACACGCTCCGGAAATAACAAGAAGGGAGAACTGTCAGGACTTGGCTGGCGGCTGGCTGCTGGGGTAAAGGCAATAGATGAGTCAAGGAGAGTATCTAGTGTCCAGATTTAAGCAATGGAGTGGGTGGCAGACTCTTCAACTAAATAGGAAACACAGGACGAGGAGCAGGTTCGGGGGACAGAATGAGTAAGAATGATTGCAATATTTAAGTATCCACCGTGTGTTTTGAGGTATCTGTAAGGCATCCATATATAGATGTTTAGTTGGCAGTAAGATACCATCTGGAGCTCAGGAAGATGATTTTATGTGGGAAAAAAAAAAAGATTTGAAACCACCCAGAGAGTATATACAGTGAAAATAAAACCAAAGATAGAAACAGGGGAACAGTTTGGCATTGTATACCAATAGCCCAAAGTAAACTTCTCTGACAGTAACGTTTTGTCTTCATGAAAAATGCATAAAAATTTATTAGTTTTGTTTCACTTAAATATTCTAAAGCCAGAAAATTACAAAACACATAAAAACTCACAATTTTATGTAGGATATAGTCAGAAAAACTATACTTTTTGAATATATAAGTCCAAGACTCATTTCAAATACAGTAAATGCTAATTTAAAATATGTGAAGGATAAAAAGATAATTATATGATCTATTCTAAAAATTCCAGTAATCAAAGTAAGAATGAAAGGGGAGTGTTTATCTTACTTGGGAGAACAATTTCATCACCTTAGTGTGTGTGTATAAAAGTTTATTGCTAATAATTACATTTTTAAATTCATTAAAGCAAATATCTAGAGGCATTTCTTTTATTAACCTAGTTAGCCTAACTGCTGTACCTTAAAGTAATCAAATTGCATGCATGTAAAGAGTCTTTTATTCAATATGAAGCATATAGTTGGTACTCAGACAGGCTTCCTTTTCCTCGTGTTAAATAAATGTTGTGTAATTTTCATCTTTTAAATGGTCTTCCATATATTCTTTACAAAATTCAAAACTAAAGCATTAATCCAATCAGAAAGTGACATTGAAAAAAATTACTACTATAGTAGAAAGATCTGTGTTTTAGTCCCAGCTATCCTATTTGCCATAGGTCCTTGGATACAGACCTTTTTATTCTTCTATAGAATGGGGTATATTTTCTTATCTTGCTCACAGGGTTGTAAGGTCAAATGAGATAATGTGGCAGCCCCATAAAATATAATATGTATTTTTTGTAGCCACACAATCACAGGAAGATGGAAAATTATCTTGGGGCATTATCAGTGAGAACTCCACAGATAATTCACTACTCAACAACTATAAGGAAAAACAGTACTTTCTGTTAAAAGCAGAACAAAACACTGAACAGATTACTCTTTGTTCCATGCTTTTTATAATTGTCATTTCCCTTTTGGTATTCCCTGCTCTCACTACAGCCAGAGAGCATAGAAGGCACACTGGCAGGAACACTGGAGGTAGAAGATACAGGCTCAGGCATCGCTTTAACTTTGGGAAGTATGGATAGTTTAGCGTGTTACATGAGATCGTTTATGTGAAAGCTCTATGTAAACCAGGAAGTGTTACTCATGCGAAGCACTGCACTGTGATCCCTATACTTGATACTGGCTGAAACTGCTTTACAATTATGTATTAACAACAGTAAATACGACAAGGCTGATGGGTTGGAAGAACCGTGACTGAACAACATGGGATCACGGCTAGACGTATCCATTTCCTAACTCAATCACCTATAAGAACTCTGTTTACTCATCTGTAAAATGAGGACATTAAGCTCTAAGGTAACTTACAACCACCCATTGCTACAAATACAGGTCAATAGAATGGCAACCTGAAAAATGGGAGTCTGACATGATAAATGGTTAGAATCAGGTTAGCAACTATTAAAGGACTTATTTCCTTATTAATGTTCTATTATCCAATATTCAATCTAGATTTCTAGAAATCCAATGTTCCCAAGTCCACGAACACTTAAATAAACCTGAGAAAAAATTTAAATACAGAATAGTTTACAGTTAAGAGGATCAAATTCTATTTTATTACCTTTCTTTTTTCCAGTGCCACAGACAAAAAGGCAATCAACAATTTTTTACATTTCGTCCTGTGGTAAATCTCAGTAACAACGGCCTCTTCAAGAATTTCAGATCTTAAGAGTTTTTGCATGAAATCTCAAAAAAACTAACAGCAATGTAATTTCTAGCATCTATTTTCATACTTAGGTCAGACTTGAGCTGTGAGATAGAAGTCTCCAAATCTCCTTTTTTCTGTTGCTCCTGCACCAGTAATTCTTGTGTGGTCTGCATAGACCTGCGTAGGGCAATGCAGTTTTGCTGCAAGATCTGCACCTGAAATGTGTAAGAAAAACTCCTTTCTGTAAAGTAAAGATTTCTACCAAACTACCTTCGAGCACACGTGTGAGGCAGATTTTCTGATCTTAACATCACTGGAGGGAGAAGGGGAGTTTCTATGTTAAAGATTTCAGTAGGGTGCAGTGTTTTACAGTAGGGCTGTCCGACAGAACTTTCTGTACACTCTCCAACACAACATGCATCAGGCACAAGTAACTGCTGAGCACCTGAAGCGTGGCCAGAGTGGGTGAGAAATTGAATTTTTAATTTTATTTAATTTTAACTAATTTAAATTTAAATAGCCATATGTGGCTAGTAGCCACTATATTGGTAGTGCAAGTTATAGCAATAAAGGATCATTTACAAATTCCATAAGTAGGGGTGCCTGGGTGGCTCAGTAGGTTAAGTGGCTGCCTTTGGCTCAGGTCATGATCCCAGGGTCCTGGGATCGAGTCCCGCATCAGGCTCCCTGCTCAGTGGGGAGCCTGCTTCTCCTTCTCCCTCTGCTGCTACCCCTGCTTGTGCTCTCTTTCTAATAAATAAGATCTTAAAAAAAAATGGGAAGAGGTTAAAAAACAGCAGTTGTATAAATTTAAAAAATCTTTAAAAAATAAAAAAGTGGGGGGCGGGGCGCCTGGGTGGCAGAGGCAGTTTGGCTCAGGTCATGACCCTGGGATTGAGCCCCGCATCGGGCTCCCCACTTGGTGGGAAACCTGCTTCTCCCTCTCCCACTCCCTCTGCTTGTGTTTCCTCTCTTGCTGTCTGTCTCTGTCAAATAAATAAATAAAATATTTAAAAAAAACAAAACAAATTCCTTAAGTAAAAGCTTTTTTATAATTTTATTATGAAGGACAGCCATTGGTTAAAATAAAGATTATGTAATCCAAATATAGGTATTAGAATTTGGAACTACTAATTGCCTTGAATACTTAGAACTGAATAGTCTAAGTTACATGTAGGTATTTCAAATAATACTACGGGCAAAAATTTAATAAATCTAGAGAAAGTTAGCAAAACTAAAGACTTACAGGTAAAATATCAGCTTTCTTTTTGGTTTCACTTCCTTGACATAAGAAGAAAAAAATCTACCTGTTTCCGTTCCACCTCCACTGTTGATTCCATTTCTTGTATTTTGAACAGCATGGCTGATGCAGATTTCTCAAGAGATTCCTTCAGGTGCTTCTCCTGAGATAGTTGTCTCCTTAGCTACAGAACAAATTGCAGTTAGGCAAGACCAAGGGAACATCACAGCAGTTTGGCAAAGATCAAACTCACCATGAAAAGTTTACCAGACATACCATCTCACTCCCAAACATTTTTCATTCATTAATGACTACTCAGAAACAAGCTTGTGTTTCTCCCTAAGGGATAAACTACTAAGAAACAAGTAGTCAGAGTCATATCTGTTGCCCTTGTCTTCCCATTGTGTAAGTCTTTTTTCCAAATTGTGGGTCAAGATGTATTAGTAAGTTGCAAGCAGCACTTTCAAAAGGGGAAAAAAAAATATCAGAGCACAGAGCATGTAATAAAGAAGGGTAAGTAAGGCTTCATGAAATGTTTGTGTATATTATTTATGTATGGTGTTACAGTATAAAATGTATGTCTCAGTAGACTTGTCAAAAAGAAGGTTGAAAAACACTAACATCACACCTTAGTATACACATACTTTCTGAATTTTCTGACTTTCACTTTTAACTCCTTTTTTTCCATATTTGATTACTTCATCTCCCTTTTTAAAATATTTTTTATCCCATAGGATTATAAACATACCCTTGAAAGCTGTTCCAATTCTGTTTTGGAATTTAAAGGTCTAAAGAAACAATGAAGTAACTGTTAAGTAGTGGATAAAACTACCACTCAAGAATTGGGGTATACTAACCTTGTTTCTCTCAATAAATGATGATGAGTTAGATAAAGATATAAAAAAGAATCTCTTTTCTCATGAGGTAAAGAGATCCTTTCAAACTTACATGGGAATTGCAGAATGCTATTCCTTTTATGAAATGATGTTAAGTAGAAGGAAATTCTGCTTTTTAAGCCCCAGTGAAGATGACCTAAGAGTATACTTTATAGCTCTTTTCCTAATTGTACATATGTTTTGCATGTGTTTTCTCTATGGATGATTTATGTTTAAAAACTTTTTAAAAAGTTGAAAGACATGGAAAGTGTGTTGGCATGAAACTTACATAACAGCCCATTTTGCAAATGTTCTGTAATATTCTTAATCATACTCCTAAGAACAAACATTTAGGTTTTTCCAGTTTTTCACTATTCTAAATATTGTTCTGCAGAACATGCCTGTGAATAAATCCTTCTTTGCATTTCTATTTCCTTAGGATAGATTCCTACAAGAGGAATCATTAGGTTAAAGGTTTAATAATGTTTAGACTTTTGATAAATTTGGTATATAATTTTCCTTCCAATTTTAGCCTATCAGTAGTATTAGAATAAATCCCATCAGTACTATGTATTGTTGTTTTCTTAAATCTTTGCTAATCCAATAAATTAAAAATGACATCTTGACAGCTTTTCATTTCTTTGGTTACTAGTGAGATTAAACATTTTCTCATATGGTTATTAGCTCTGTATATTTTCTGAGCTATTATATATTTTTTGAAATGTTAGCTGACCACTTTTTGGGGGTTTTTGTTTTTTGTTTTTAGTCAATTTTAAGTTCTTTAAAAGGAAAGATTGTTAACTCTATCTAGTTTTGCTAAGTTTTACTAGTTTTGCTTTTTGCCCCCCTTTTCTTTACACGTAGGATTTTTAATTCTTATGTGTTCAAATCTATTGAACCTTTTATAATTCTATTCCTTCATTTCAAGTTTAGAAATTCCTTCCTCATCCTTCCTCATCATTATAAGTATTACAATCTTATTAAGGATGACCACAGTTTTTACTTTTGGCTGTATTAATAATCTAATACTATAGTATCAGATTATAATTTTTTTAAAAGATTTTATTTATTTATTTGACAGAGAGGGACACAGTGAGAGAGGGAACACAAGCAGGAGGAATGGGAGAGGGAGAAGCAGGCTTCCCGCTGAGCAGGGAGCCCAATGTGGGGCTCGATCCCAGGACCCTGGGATCATGACCTGAGCCGAAGGCAGACGCTTAACGACTGAGCCACCCAGGCGCCCCATCAGATTATAATTACTTTGTAGCTTACTATATTTTTCTAAGCTCTGGATCAAATTATATAGTATAATGTACTTGAGATACTATTTAAGTCCTTTATAGAGGGATCTTCATTTGATAATTATACTATTGAGGTATTAATTCTGAAGTATTATTAAAAGCGACCAGTTTTAGGTCTATCAGAGCCAGATTCTACATATATTTCTTACCTCTTAGGAAGATGTATACCACATGTATTCTGTCTTTATACAGCCCCCTGATATGGACTGAATTGTATTCCACAAAAATATTATGCTGAAGCTCTAACCCCAGTATCTCAAAATATGACTGTATTTGGAGATAGGGCCTTTAAAGAGGTGATAAACTGTAAGGATGCTGTTAGGGTGGGTCCTAACCCAACCTGAATGGTGTCCTTATAAGAGAAGGAAATGGGGACACACGAAGATACCAGGGATGTGCAACACACAAAGCAAAGACCACGTGAGGACCATGTGAAGGCAGCCATCTGCAAGTCAAGTAGAGAAGCCTCAGGAGAAAAAAACCTGCTGACATCTTGATCTTGGACTTCAAATCTCCATAAATATAAGAAATTTCTATTGTTTAAGCCGCCTAGTCTGTGGTACTTTGTTACTGCAGCCCTAGCAAACTAATACATCCTTCCTGCTTGAATACCAAAATGCATTTTGACAAGGACAGTCCTTCTAAGGATCCTTGACAGGGTTCAATAAAAAATTCAAGATTTTATCACAGCACTCAGAATTAAGACTTTCCTAATAAAGAGTAATGATAAATGGTAATCACTGATAGTGTTTTAAACAAATGGTGCTGAAACAACTGGACATACACACACACGCGCACACACACACAAAGAATCTAGATACAGACCTCACGTCATTAATTCGAAATGTATCATTTATTTAAATTTAAAATGCAAAACTATAAGGCTTCTAAAAATAACACAGGAGAAAAATCTTGGTGTGTTGGGTTTGGTGATGACTTATAACACCAAAAGTATAGTTCCTGAAAGAAAAAATTAGTAAGTTGGACTTCATCAAAATTAAAAGCTTCTGCTCTGCAAACAAGCTACAGAATGGAGAAAAAAATTGCAAAACACATATTTGATTAAGGACTAGCATCCAAAATATACAAAGAACTCTTAAAACTCAACATAAGAAAACAAACAACCCAATTACAAAATAAGCATAAGATCTAACAGACACCTCACCAAATGAGATATACAGATGGCAAATAAGCATATAAAAAGATATTCAATATCATATATCATTAGGTAATTATAATTAAGATACCACTACACACATATTAGAATGGCAAAAATTCAAAACACTGACAAGACACCATGGTGATGAGAATGTGGAGCAAAAGGAACTCATTCATTGTTGGTATGAATGGAAAATGGTACAGCCATTTTTTAAGACAGGTTGGCACTTTCTTACAAAGGTAAACAAAAGCTTACCAGATGATCCAGCAATTGTGCTCTAGGTATTTATCCAAATGAGTAGATAACATGTCCACACAAAAACCTGCATATGAATGTTTATAGCAGCTTTATTCACAATTGCCAAAACTCAGAAGCAACCAAGATGTTCTTCAATAGATGAATGGATAAACAAACTGTGGTACATCCATACAACTGGAATATTGTTTAGCAATAAAATGAGTTACCATACCATGACAAGGCTTGGAGGTACGTTAAATGCATATGCTAAGTGAAAGAAGCCAGTCCAAAACAACCACACACTGAATCATTCCAACTATAACAAAACTACAGACAGTGAAAAGATCAGTGGTTGCCAGGGGCTCAGGAAGAGGAGGTGGGAGGGATGGGTATATGGAGCACAGAGCATTTTTAGGGCAGTGATACTATTCTGTAAGATAATGTAATGAACAAAGGGTGAATCTTAATATAAACTGTGGACTTTAGCTAGTAATGATTTATCAATTTATTTATGAACAAGACTAGTTTGTCAAATTTAACAAACGTACCACACTAATATAATAGGGGAAACTGGAGGGATGGGGAGAGCAGGTTTATGAGAACTGTTTTCTGTGCAATTTTTCTATAAATGCAAAACTTCTCTAAAAAAAAATAGTCTACTAAAATATCTAAAAACTAAAAAAAATACACGAAATGTAATACATTCTATGAAAAATCATGCTTTTATCAGTAGCTACTGGCAAATAAGTATATGAGAGAATTTTCCAGATAGCTATACTTAACACCTTATGCACTAAAAATCGTAACTTAAAAAAGTAATTTTGCATAAGAATTTTCTTTAAAAGTATATCTACTTCTTGGTATTTTAAATATAATTTGGATCCTTTTGATTTGGATAAACATCAATGATTATTCTGTCAGGGAATATTGAGGTTTTTAGGTCAGGGTGTGTGGGATTACTAATTCTCCTGACTCTTCCACTGTTTTCAGCTGCCAATTTTTAGTCCAGCAACTTTTAGCAGCCACCTACTTCACAAATCCCAATCTGTTATCTACTAAAACTTAGGCTGAAATGAAGTTTCAAGGTAAAATTAGATGAGCAGGCTTATTAAAAGCTTTTTGTTTTAAACACAACTTTAGTTTAAAAGGTCTTTGGATGCATGTGTTCACTTAGCTCTAGCATATGAATTTCATGGTAACTAATTTCCTTCCTGGCTCACAAAGCACTTACTTTATTTCTGGTTGTAGGGCCATACTGAGGCAAAAGGAACTCTTAATGTCAAATAAGGGTAACCACTTTCACTTGAATTTCACGTGGCATATTTTTAAAATCTTCCTACTCCACAGTAACATATTTTTTCTTCAAAGTTTTTCATTCTTTCTACCTTCTTGACTTTCCCTCAGCAATTCCAATGCCCCCTCCACCCTCGAGAACCTTTTTTTTATCTTACCTCCTGAATTTTCAGGTTCATTTTGCGTTTTGTGGTCTTCAATTCCTCTTCAATAATGGCTGCATTCTTCTAAAAGTACAAGGGGAAAAGGTTCTAAATAATCTGAAATGAAGAAAGAAACTGTCTATAGGCACATCAGTTCAAATCTAGACTTTTTTCTAGCAACCTATATATGCTATTCCGAATATAGTTATAAATACTTCTTATTGTGAGTCTAAAATAATTATTACAACGAGATATTTAAAAAAGAAAGTTATTTTATCACTTTGATTCATGACTTCTATTATTTTCCCTTTTATTTTTATTTTTTTTAAAGATTTGTTTTAATGAACTATTGGGACTTCATCAAGATAAAAAGCTTTTGCACACCAGAGAAAACAGTCAACAAAACCAAAAGACAACCGACAGAATGGGAGAAGATATTTGCAAAACACGCAAAAATCAAATAATCCAGTCAAGAAATGGGCAGAAGACATGAACATTTTTCCAAAGACAAACAAATGGCCAACAGACACACGAAAAGATCAACATCACCTGGCATCAGGGAAATACAAATCAAAACCATAATGAGATACCACCTCACACCAGTCAGAATGGCTAAAATTAACAAGTCAGGAAACAACAAATGTGGGCAAGGATGTGGAGAACCTTGCCAGATGGGAACCTTCTTACACTGTTGGTGGGAATGCAAACTGGTGCAGCCACTGTGGAAAACAGTATGGAGATTCCTCATAATGTTAACACCAGAGCCAGCACTACTAGGTATTTACGCCAAAGATACAAATGTAGTGATCCAAAGGGGCACCTGCACCCCAATGTTTATAGCAACAATGTCCACAATAGCCAAACTATGGAAAGAGCCCAGATGTCCATCAACAGATGAATGGATAAAGAAGATGTGCTATAGGGGCGCCTGGGTGGCTCAGTCATTAAGTGTCTGCCTTCAGCTCAGGTCATGATACCAGGGTCCTGGGATCGAGCCCCGCATCGGGCTCCCTGCTCTGCTGGAAGCCTGCTTCTTCCTCTCCCACTCCCCTGCTGTGTTCTCTCTCTCACTGTGTCTGTCAAATAAATAAATAAAATCTTTAAAAAAAAAAAAGATGTGCTATATATATACACACACACACACACACACACACATATACATACAATGTAATATTACACAGCCTTCAAAAAAGTGAAATCTTGCCACATGCAACGAAGAGGATGGAACTAGAGGGTATTATGCTAAGCGAAATAAGTCAGAGAAAGACAATCATCATATGATCTCACTCATATGCGGAATTTAAGAAACAAAACAGATGAATGTAGGGGAAGGGAGGGAAAAATAAAGTAAGATGAAATCAGAGAGGGAGACAAACCATAAGAGACTCTTAGCTATAGGAAACAAACTAAGGGTTGCTGGAGGGGAGATGGGTAGGGGGATGCACTGGGTGTTATATACAACTGATGAATCTGAACTCTACCTCTGAAACTAATAATACACTATAGGTTGATTAATTGAATTTGTATTAAAAAAAGAAAAAAAAGGAAAAAAGATGAGAGAGAGAGAGAATGCATGCACAAGTTGGTGGAGGGGCAGAGGGAGAGAATCTTCAAGCAAACCACCCCCCCACCCCAGGCAGGGCTCAATCTCACAACCCATGAGATCATGACCTGAGCTGAAACCAAGAGTCGGACACTTGACTGAGCCACGAAGGGACCCCAAACACATTCACTTTTATGTAAAATTCAATAATGAGAGAACCTGGTAATTGACGGAACTTTTTCTTACAGAGTATATTCTTTTTTTTTTTTAAGTATTCAATCTCTTCTTGCCTCAAATATTATCCTTGCTTAGGAGCTGAGGATCAAAAATACAGCTTTCACTATTTATTCTCTTTTATATCACTATTAATGGCACCACAATCCAAGATGTAAAACCTCAGTCATCTTTGCCTTCTTTCCTATATTCAGCTCCTGTCCAGTATCATATTCTAACATATCTTTCTTCATAAAACATTTCTTTTCAAAATGACACCCTAAGTCAGACCTAATAAGGCTTGTGGCTCAAATCATGCAATGGACTCCTAATTGGTTTCCCAAAACTCTACACCACTGCCAGATTAGTTTTCTTATTTTTGTTATGTCACTTCCTTATCAAAAATGATAATCACCCCCATAGTATCAAGCCCAACTACTGATTATTCTTGATTTTGAAATCCTCTATAATGTGATCCCTCACTAATGTCCAATTTATTTACCCCCCCCCCCCAATCCTCACTCCTCTCAGGCTAGTTTATGCATTTCCTCTAACTTTATCAGTGGAAAAATCTAAGTTCAAAGCTGGGTAACAGGAAGAAAATAGGGAAGTGTCATCTTAGAGAAATGAGTTCTCTCTGGGGCCCAATGCTCTTATTACTAAAATGGGGACAGTATCATCCTGTCATGAGGTTTTTCAAAAATTTAACAAAATAACATGTTGACCATCTATTATACTGCCTGGCCCTTGAAGGGAGAACAAAATTGTCAGTTTATTATCCTACTCTATATTCTTTCCTGCCTCTGTGTGTACTCCTTGAAATGTCCTCACCTCTCTACTTTGCCTTCTACAAAATTCAGCTCATGACTTACCTCTTCCTTGAAGCCTACCCTAATCTACTCTAGGTAGATAGGGCATACCCACCCTCTCAAACCCACCTGAACACAAAACACACGTCAATATTCACTTACTGTCCTACACTGTTCTTTAACACTTCCTATGTCCTTATTTTTTCTCTATTTAGTTTTTCATGCTATTCCTTGTTCTTCCAGCTAGCATATAAGCTCTTGGAAGAGCAGAGACTCTGCCTTATACCCTTGGACTCCCACTCTCATGCATATCAGGGTAAGGGCTCTATAAACACCACATTACTGATAGTACACAATAGTTTAGGTTATCAATGTAGGTAACTTTGAAATGTCAAGAATCCTTACATCATATCACCTAATTTTAAAAGTCAATTTTATGGGTCTGTTGCCTCCTCCAGTTAACAGATAACAGTGAATCTGTATTTCAGAAATCTGGATTCAAACCTTTGTCTCTGAGGCAATCTCCAGGGTGGCAGTCAACCTTTGCACTTCTTCTTGTGCCTTGTCTTCTTCCTCTTTTACATCTCTTAGTTGCTGGCGCAAATTCATCACTTCAAGATGCAACAGCTTCAAGTCCTTGGAATGCTCCTCCTGTATTGCATTCAGTCGATCCTTCAGAAAAGCTACCCAACAGCACAGGAGGGTCATGGAGCAGTTGAAAGAAGGTCAGGAAAGGAAAAGAATCATAAACTCATTAAGCACCCATACAGGACCAAATTTCTGATGATTCTCTTCTCTCTGTACCTGTTTTCTGTGGATTCAAATCCTTTTCAGTTTGCAGACGAAAGATGTTCATCTTCAAGGACTGGATGAGGCTTTCCAGACGGCACATTCGATTTACCAGAAACTCACAGTTCTTCCATAGAATATCTGGTTTTCCTGAACAAAACATTTCGTTCTGGATGGGACTAATGATATTCTGGCTCACAGGCTCTTCTAAACATTTCGGAGTCTCCAGTTGGCCTCTGGACAAAGATCCCAATTTAACAATATTATGCAATGCAATGTGTACTATGGTAATCCCAATCATCAGGTCATTTCTACTAAGAATAAAAATTAGATTCCTTAGTTAAGCATCTGTTAGTTCTCCAAATTTAAATATAGAAAGCACCATTAGGTAAAGAGGATGAGACTAATGTCAGTTGGATAAAGACCACTGACTTTATAACGGTTGTTTCTTTTAATGTGAATTTTTTGTAAAGTTTTATGTGGTACATAAAACATGTTAAATAATAAATCTATAATTATAAAAAATTAAAGTTAGCATGGAGTAAATATATTCACATATTTTTAGAAAAATTTTAAAGAAGGTCATAATAAACATTCCTACTTTATTCTCACATACTCAGCATCTATACAAGTTTAATCTCTAACTACTGAAGAATTATTCATTCTATGGGTGCTATAATACCAACTATAATAATTTTAGGTTTTCATGAGAGACACTAAAGAAATATATTGTAATCTTAAAGAAAATCACGCCAGCAAATTTGATATTGGCTGCTTAAGTACCCAGATTCCTCAGGCCATTAATCATCCAACTTTTAGTGGCAATACCTTCTTTAGCCAAGGGGAAAAAAAGGTGGGGTTCTTTTTTTTTTTTTTGAGTACCTCATTTTAAATTAGGAAATTTTTTTAAAGATTTAAAACCTTTCTTTTAATTTACAATAAATCTGGGGAAAGAAAATGAAGACAATATCAATGGCATGAATCAAGTTTAGATGTTCACCTTAACTAATATCAAAGTCTATTTTTGATTTTACAAATATGAACTAAATTTTTTCTAATTATACAAAAATTCCATATTTGTTTTCAATCAAGTTTTGAAGATGAACAGTTTGTGCACCTAAATAGCACATTTTTAAAATTTTATTTTATTTGAATTCAATAAATTAACATATAGTGTATTATTATTTTCAGAGGTAGAGTTCAGGGATTAATCAGTTGCCTGTAACACCCAGTGCTCATTATATCACGGACTCTCCTTAATGCCTATCATCCTGTTACCCCATCCCCCGACCCACCCCCTCATTTGAAATAAGTATCTGTTCAGGGGAATAGTGGTAGTAGCTCTATTACAAGATGACAACTCTATCTCACAAATATTTTCTAATTAATGTGCAAACGGAAACTTTTTTTTCAATTCTTTTATAAATACCTGTATTTCATCTGCCGAACCATCTGTACTCTGACTCCTAAGAATTCTTCAACCTACAAAGATCTAGTTCATTTTCCATTTGTTACCTTTTTTCACCAAAGTCCAACATTATTAGGTCATCCCTCAGAGAACTGGTCTGTTCCTCAACTATTCTCATCCTTTCCTGAAGTACCGTGAATGTTTCAGAAGCTGTAGCATTGATGTGGGTTGGAGAGAGGACCGGTCTGGACACTGTAGTTTCCATATGCACCTGAGATTAAAGTCACAATATTGGTATAGTAGGTTCTATTATGGTTCAAAATAGTCACTGTCCCTTCTTGTGGGAGAATTACACATCCCTGTTCTGTTGAGGTCAGGAATGGCCATGTGTCTTGCTTTGGTCAGTTTAATGTGGGTGGGAACTTTAAGAGCCAACTTGTCATTCATCATCTCCTTCTTTCTCCCCTCCATGAGATGAGCAACAACCCAGATAGGGCCGGCTTAGTGTGCCAAGATCCCACAGTGAAGAAGACATGAAGCAGAGCTATGGCCCGTCCATGACATCCAGTGTGAGTGGGCAATAAACTTACGTTGTTATAAGCCACTGAGATTGTTGAGTAGTTTGTTATTTCATCATAATCTAGTCTATCTATCTGGTAGTATAGACACATAACTAGGACCTATGACTTGGCTAAGGGAATTATTACTTCTTTCATTACTAGCCATCACCATTTTAACATATTCTAACCAACCTTTCAGAAAAACATTCTATACTTAGATTTCTGAGCACTTGTTGTAAGATAAATTTACCAACTACATTGAAGCAGTGATTTTAAAAAATAATTTGCAAACTTAACTTCATAGCCTAGCAAAGACTCTTCTATAGCTATTGACATAAAATTTCCAGACTTCTCTTCTTTCCTAATATTTTGAAATATTAGTGACAGAATTAGGCAGAATTAGCATAGAAGAAGCAGTCCCAACATATAGATGAATCATGGGCCCAAAGTTCAATGACAAGGTCATTGGGGAAAGAAACTTTAAGGACATTTTCCTGCAACTCCAACCTTTTGTATAGACATTTCTATACCAACCAACTGTAAACCTTAACCATTACTAGCAAAAGTGCTCCCATGGAAACGTTCACAAAGATTCCACTTTGGATATTAGGAACACATCTTTTCTCCCCCTCTTGCTGTGTAATCAGAGATCTCTCTTCCCCTCACCTCCAGGCAGTGCAAGTGGTGACTACCTCAGGTCCAAGTAATTGATAGTCTCCATCACTCAAGGCAAGAATTAAAGAAGTGGGAAAACTGGTGGCAGGATTTAAGGGGGTAGCAGCATGATGGGGGGCAGTGAAAAGACTGAGTTTCTTGCCAATATCAAGAACATTGCTTCACCTTTTTTTTTTTTAAAAAGATTGATTTATTTATTTGACAGAGAGAGACACAGCGAGAGAGGGAACACAAGCAGGGGGAGCGGGAGAGGGAGAAACAGACTCAGCAGGGAGCCCGATGCGGGGCTCGATCCCAGGACCCTGGGACCACGATCTGAGCCGAAGGCAGATGCTTAACGACTAAGCCACCCAGGTGCCCCGAACATTTCTTCATCTTGAAATAGCTCTCCAATCACCTTTTATCTCCCCACAACAGGTCCCAGAGAATGGTCTAGTCTTTTTTTTAACTTTACTGAGGAATAATTGAATATAATTTTATTTAAAGTGTACAATGTGATGATTTGATATACATATACACTGTAGAATGGTTACCAAGATCAAGATAATTAACACATTCATCACCCCACATAGATAACATAGTTAACTTTGTGCGTGTTGTGTGTGTGATCTACTCTCACAACTTTCAACTATACAACATATTACTATGCTACCATGCTGTACATTAGATCCTCAGAACTTATTTGAAAAGGTAACCTACAGAATCATAGTAAATAATTGCATACCACAGATTTGATAAGCAGTTAATGTCCAAAATATATAAAGAACTCATAACTCAATAGCAAAAATGCAAAGAAACTAAAAAAAATGAGCAGAGGATCTTAACAGACATTTTCTCCAAAGACAACAAAGAGATGGCCAACAGATAAATTAAAAGGTGCTCAAATCACTAATCACCAGGGAAACGCAAATCAAAACCACAATGAAATATCACCTCACATCTGTTAGGATAGCTATTATCAAGAAGATAGCAAATGTTGGTGAAGATGTGGAGATAAGTGAACCCTCATACACTGTTGGTGGGAATATAAAATGGTACAGCCATTTATGGAAAACAGTATGGAAGTTCTTCAAAAAATTAAAAATATAACTATCATATGATCCAGCAATCCCACTCCTTTGTATATATACAAAGAAATCAAAGACAGGATTTTAAAGAAGTACCTGTTCACTCATGTTCAGTGCAGCATTATTCACCATAGCCAATATAGAGAAACAACCTAAATGTCATTCACCAGATGAATGGACAAAGAAGAAGTGATTTTTATATATATATTATATATATAATATATATAATAAAATATTATTCAGCCATAAAAAGAAAATCCTGCCACTGACATTGATGAATCTAGAGGGCATTATGCTATGTGAGATGAACCAGACAGAGCAGAAAAATATTGTTTGATATCATTTATATGTGGAATTAAAAAAAAAAAGGTTGATTTCATAGAAACAGAGAATAGAATGAGGTGGAGGGAAGGGGAAATGGACTGATGTAGGTCAAAGGGTACAAATTTTCTTTTTACTCTTATTTTAGTGCTTCTGACCAGGATTTCTCTCTTTTATTCTCTTCTATGAAACAGAAAGCATTTCTGACACATGTAATCTGAATTTGTTAAAAGATTTTCTGTTAATGATCAGCTTAAGGACATGGGGGCAAAGAAGCTCTCTATTATTAATTTCCATCCATGCTTTCAAAAATTCCTGAAGAGAAAGACAACGGTATAGACAGTAACAAAGTCTTTGGATCTACAAAGAGTTGAAGTAAGTTTCATCCATGTTTCTGGAAAAAAGCCAGATTTGGAGACTCCTGCTCATGTTACCACATGTACCAGGATAGTGTTCCTCAGGTAATAGAAGGAAGAGCCTCCATGAGACCAGGGTTAGGGTTGGGGGAGTGTGGGTGGGGAGAAAATGGAAGGGTAACAACAGAGAAACACCACATGGATTTACCCTCCATTCCATTTTCTACCACCTGCTGTCTTGTTACTGCCCACCTAGAAATAAACCAGGCTTGAAGTGGGGAGAAAATGTAAAGTGTTTAATAAGGTTTGGGGTAGACAGAGTTGACTCCTTTGTTTTCTCTATAAAAGAAGCTGAAGAGTTCCTGTCCCCAGCCTTCCTTGCAGCTGGCACAGCCATGTGACACATTCTGGCCAATGAGACTTTAGGCAAAAAGTTTGCAAGGAGCTTCTGAGAAGGCTTTTGTTTTTCTGATAGAAAAAACTGAAATGATGGTGCCGGTCCTTTACTTCCCTGTATGAGGCCCAGAGCTCTGAGAGCTCTCTTTTAGTCAGCCATGCAGTGCCTCACTTTTAGACACAGAGAGCTAGGGATCACCAGCATCTGAGAAATACAAGGAAAAGGCCAGAGAAGTTGAGATTAACCTGAGGTTTTTTTTTTTTTTTCTTGCCCAAAACTAGCAACATCCAACCTCTGCTTATTTGAGAAAAATAAGCTTAGTCATGTTTTTCTGTTGCTTGCAGCAAAAACATTCCTGAAACACAGTAGCCCAGGCAATAGTTGGTGGAGAAACAAGTAGAAGGGGTGGTAAAAGAAAGGACAAGTACTACCAGAGATGTGAGGGAGGACAATTTCCCTGGTAACTTGTTAGGCTGAGGCAGCTAGTTATAATATAAAGGATGGCCTCTATTAATTTATATCAAAAGCCAAGCATAAAATACTAATACAAATATTAGTCCATTTTAGGGAAAAAATACAGAAAATGGAATACAAGTTTACCACGTATTTTGAATGGGATACAGATTCCCATCTAAAATTTTTTCATGTAGGGGTGCCTGGGTAGCTCAGTCGTTAAGCATCTGCCTTCGGCTCAGGTCGAGATCCCAGGGTCCTGGAATCCAGGCCCGCATCGGGGCTCCCTGCTCAGCGGGAAGCCTACTTCTCCCTCTCCCACTCCCCCTGTTTGTGTTCCCTCTCTCGCTGTGTCTCTATCAAATAATAAATAAAATCTTAAAAAATAAATAAATAAAATAAAATAAAATAAAATTTTTCATGTATTGTTGAAATGTGACAGTTTTGCTGATATTTCCCTAAAGTACCTATGATATGTATAAAATGCTCACACTTACTTTACAGTATTGTGTGCACTTTTGGCCATAAAAACAAAATTTAAAACCAAATTAATTTTTTTTTTAAGAGAAAGTTTATATATGTTTGAGTAAGAATTTGATTCCCCTCATCACTCATGCCCACCTGAACCTGATCTACCCTGGAGCCATTCAGGTTTCTGGAAAGAAAATTCACCCTAAGAAAGGGAAGAGTGAGATGCTTGGGACAGACTGATGTTGGGCAGGGGATAAAGCTTCTAAGTGAACATGGCAGTGTTCTTGAAATATCCTCTTAGTGAATCACTGATGAACATGTGCAAGTCATCCAAGAAGTTGACTGGAAAACTAAACAAGCCAAAAAAAAAAAAAACAAACCACTAAACAAGCCAATCTACCCTTTGGAGATTAAAAACAGGTCCTAGGATTAACTGAAAACCATTCCTCCACAAACCTCCCCTGCAATGGGGAAAAAAAAAAGAAAACATGTCAAGGTCAGGAGAGCTCGAGGAAGCAATCAATGGTAGATGAATAGCAAGACTAAGACAGCTTTAATATTCACCAGGGAGAGTCCCGGAATACCTGGGAGCCTGTTAAAGGAAGAGTGAGGTAACTACCTGGGATCCAGTAAATCTGCTGAGTCAGGAAAGATTCTCACTTTCACTGCAGTATACCCTTGCCTGTCCTCCCTCAGCTGGCAGGCCCCACACACAGTCCACTGGCCACTTGGCAGATCCTCAGAAGGCATAGCTCAAAAGCTCGGAGTCTAAGAAATACAATCTTACAAGAAAAGAATCTAGCTCTAATTGCTAATATTGCAGCAAAGAGACTATGGCTTGACTTATGTGTGCTTTGCAGTTTTTGAAAAGATGCAAATATCATTGAATGTAGTCTTGAACCCAAGGCCTGATGCTTGATCGTAACAATAATAAAAATACTAACATATAAACTTTTAGTTTTAAGAAAGTGCATTCATAGCTACTTTCATAAACGTATCATTATCAAATTAATACAATTCTGTTTCTGTATTTAGGGAGAGTATGTCTATGGAGCTCCTAAGTAGGTTACCTCATTGAAAGGATGGCATGAATAAGACCAATGTCTTAATATACTAGTAAAAGTCAGGTGACTGAAAAGTCCAGAAAGAGTAAACAGTGAGTACAAAGATCAGTGAGTACAAAGATCCTTACAAACAGTAAGGAGGTCAGTCTGGCTGGAGAGGAGTAAGTGAAGGAGAGAACTATAGAAGGTGAGGTCAGAAGGTAATAAAGGGACCAGATCACATTAGGTCTTAAAGTTTTGGCTTTTACTCTCAGTGACTCTCAGAACCATTGGACTGTGTAGAGTGGAGGAGTGCTGTGATGTAACTTACCTTTTAACTGGATCACTCTGGATACCCTCCCAGGAGGGTAGGACAACCATAGAGGTAGAAAGACCAGTTGGGAAACTGCTACAATAACCCAGGCAGGAGGTGCCATTGGCTAGGACCCAGGTGATAGCAAGAGAATAGTAAGAAGTGGTCAGACTCCAGATATGTTTTAAAGATTGGTTTTGCTGATGGATTAGATATGAAATATGAGAGCAAGGATATAATTGGAAGGATGGTGTTGCCATTAATTGAGACAATGGAAGCCTGTCAGAACTGGTTTTAGCTGAAAGATTGAGTTGTTTTGGAAATGTTAAATGTAAAACAGAAAAGATGGCCACAACAAGACTGAACTTGTTAATTCGGAGTTCAGGGAAGAAGTGTGGGCTGGCGATATAAATTTTGGAGTTGTCAACGCACATGCCACTTGTAAAGCCACAAGACTGTCTAACGCAGAACAGAAAGGATTCAGGGAACTGAGTGTCCCTAGGTGCTCCGCTATGAACAAGTGGAGTACATGAGGAGTGTGTGGGTGTTCGAGCTAGACTGAGTTCTCCGAAGTACGGTCAGATTGATCTCTCCCTATCTTCAGAGCCTAGCACAGTGAATGGGGCACTGTGGCTGGCAAACAAACGGAAAACTCAACAAAAATTTAACGAACATCTATTCTGTTCTAGCACAAGTGTCAGGTACTGGGAAAACTTCAAGGAACGAATGCATTCTAAAAAGCAGATCGGGGAATATAACAGGTGACAAAAATTAAAAAACAAAAAACACGTCGAAATGGCTTTCCTAAGAACCTGTAACCTCCAACCTAACATATAAAGAAAAGGTGGTATTGGGGCTTATCTGAAGGCCCTCCCTGGTGGCTATCCTCCGTCCCTCAGCTGCAGCCAGTCCAACGCAAACTTAGCTCCTAAACGGTTTTCACCTGCATCCAGCGCAGAAGCGCCATAAATTAGGATCCTGGGGTCGGGAGGGCGGAGACTAAACACTGCCAAGAGAATGAGAGGGCGGCAGGAGGAGATCATGGTGGTCTTGGCTGAGTCGCCAACTCCCCCCGCAGGACCGGCACCCCGTCCACGGCCGGTAGCCTTACCTCACACTCCATCTGTCCACCGGTAGCTCTATCCCTCAGCAGGCAGGCCGGTTTCCATGGAACTAACACAGCGCTTTAAACCAACCCGCTCCGGCGCGGTAGCTCCTGTACGCAGGCGCATCCGTGGCAGCGCATGCCGGGAATTGCAGTTTTCCCGGCCCAGGAGGGCCCTCCGCCCGGGGCGGCACCCAGGCCGGAATCCGGCGGCGCGCACGGAACGCGCAGCCCCGTGACCCGGATGACGACAGGGCTCCATTGTGCTCATGAGCGAGGCATGGCGGGATATGTAGTTTCCTCTCGCTCGCCTCCCGGATTGTCCTGTCGGCTTTGCAGGTACAGGTCTCACCTGGGTGAACGTGCGGCGTTTGGGTAATTTGGCAAACATACCCCGCAACGGGAGAGAGTCCATGATTAGAAAATGTTTTTACTTTTAGGAGGACTAAAGTATCGGGTAACTTCTGAACGATAGGAAAATAACAGATTTCATTAATGAGCATAAGAAATGGTAAAAATACAAAGTTCAAACATTCTTTTCTTTGAAGGAAAAGCCAAGAGCCTCTTCATCCTCGTCCATGATGGCCAGGCGGAGAGTAAAACACATGTTTTCTGCTCTCTTGTCTTTTGTCTCATCAGCATAATATATTTCTTGCCTTCTCGACAGGGAAGTGAATAGGTATTTCTAAATATGACTGTAAATAGCTAAGAAACAAGAAAGCATTGAAAATAATAGTGCAGTCGTTTCAGAGTTGTTTTGCTCTAAGAGTGGGAATTCACACTTTAAGACGAGAAGCCTTCTACAGTGAAAAGACAAAACGGCTTTACATTTAGGTAGCTGAAGAGAACACCTGTTAACCACCATCAGGGCAATTAATGCGTTTCTCTCCTTTCCTCGGGGGCACAGCTGAGAAAAACTTTAGCCCTCAGATGAATGGAGTCAGATTCCAGATGAGTCCTCATTTGCTAAGCAAGTGACTGACTGAAATGATCTGGCTGTTCTGATTGTTCTGCTAGCCAATCCTCCACACGAGATGGAGTGTCTATCAAACCACAGCTGTAAGATGTATTCATTAAACTGTAAGCCCATCTGGTGAAAGAGAAATGAGTGCTGCCTACATTATTCAGGTGAAGGGACCAAATAAAGCTTTTAATAGGAAAAGTGGGAGAGTACTTTAGAGCGTCAACACGAAGAGCCAATTATTCTCTCAGTATGTACACTTTCTCTTTCAATGATCTCTGATTTATCTGTGGAGATGAGGGGTATGTGTATGCACTCCACAAATACCCACACACTTCACTGTAATGAGCATTTCACCTTCCTGAATCTCCATTTTAAGCAGCAGTCAGGGAGCCAAATTGATTAAATTTACTGTTTTTCATTTCCTTTTCTCTTTCGACCATCTGGCAAACCATATAAGAACTTAAATCAAGCAATTACAAAGTTAGAAAAAAGAATCTGAATTCTTCAATAAACTAATTCATCTGCTAGAGAATCAGTCCTGGATACCTGAGAATTCATTACATAGAAGGTCTGTTTTTATTTTTTAAGTGCGTAGACATACTGATTTTTTTTTTCTGATTTCACTCTTAATTTTTGATTGATAAATGGTTTTTATACTCCTTGACCCATTGATAAAGTCTTTTTAGTCATGGAAATCTCAAGATTCCATGAAAACCATCTCCTCTCTCACTACAATACCACAGTAGGCTTCTAATTGGTTTTCTGACCACCCTTCCCAATGCAACCTTCATACAGCTACTAAAATGATCTTAAAAAGTACAGATGACCCTTCAACAACACGGTGGTTAAAGGCACTGACATCCCCTGCATTCAAAAATTCATGTATAACTTTTGACACCCCAGAAACCTTAATACTCTACTGTTGAAGCCTCACTGATAATGTAGAGTTGATTAACACATATTTTCTGTTTTTACAATAAACTATGCTAGAGAAAAAATATTAAGAAAATCATAAGGAAGAGAAAATACATTTACAGTATTGTATTTATTTTTTAAAAAATCCACATATAAGTGGACCCACGCAATTCAAACCCATGTTGTTCAAGTCAACTGTAAATCCAATCATTTCAGTCCCTTGCTTAAAAACATTTAATAGTTCTCCCTTTGTGGGGGGTGGGGGGATGGGTTAGCCTGGTGATGGGTATTAAAGAGGGCACATACTGAATGGAGCACTGGGTGTTATGCGCAAATAATGAATCATGGAACACTACATCAAAAACTAATTATGTAATGTATGGTGATTAACATAACATAATAAAATAAAATACCAGCATGTCTGTGCCTGCAGGCTCTGCATCCTCTGCCAGGCATGCCCTTTCTCTTGTCTGTCTGGTGAACCCAACGGAAATTTAACCTCTTTAGTGATGCCATTCTATTACCTCCCAAAGTACTTACTGCACTGCATTATAATTGTCAGTGTGTCTTATTGCCCCTTAATTAGGCTGTAAGTAACTTGAAGACAAGAGTTTTGTTCTTATTTTGAGCTTATTATTTTCAACACCAAGCACAGTGCCTGGTACACAATAGAGGCTTGGTTAAGTCATCCTTGTTAAGTGAGTGAATTAATGAATAAATAAATTTTGAAATCTTCTACTGACAGAGGCTATTTATCACTCTCTTGACTATTTATATACATATTCTATTTGTAGGCCAAAAAAATAAAAAAGGCATCTGCTTTCTTCCAGACCTGGAAGCACATGATCTTGGGGTCCTAGGGTTGAGCCCCAGGGGTGGAGGGTTCTGCTTGAGGGTTCTCACTCTCTCCCTCTCCTTCTTGCCCTCCGCTCTCTCACCCTATTGCTCACTCTCTCTCTAAAATAAATAAATAATTCTTTAAAAACAAAAAAACTAGAGTATATTGCTTTAGCACTGTTCTTTTTGCTTTAGCCTTACAGTACCCAGTCAAAACACTGTTCTCCAAAGTGACTTACATCAGCTCCGTTTGTTCTCCACCTGCTTCAGCGTGGCTATTTGATTTATTTGTAATACATTTAGATTCATGTGGGCCAGTCTGCATGCATCTTGTGTTCTGCCTATATCCTGATTGATTTTATTTAATCTACATACAGTAAAATTCACTTTTTGTGGTGTACAGTTCTATGGCTTTTGACAAATTATTAGAGACTTATTCTCCCACCATAGTTGTTTACACAAGTTTCTTCACTCTCAAAATGCCATCACACTTCCCCTTTACAGTCAACCCCGCCCCTCACCTCCTGGCCACTGGAAACCACTGATTTGTTTTCCATACCTATAATTTTGCTGTTCTAAAATGTCATACTAATGGAGTCATAGTGCTTTTGGGTCTAAACTCTTTCAGTGACCAGATGCATTTAAGATTCATCCATGTTGTTAACATGAATCAATAATTCATTTTTTAACAGAAAATTCTTTTCAGTTCTGGGATGGTAGACTTTATAGAAAAAGCTATAAAGATAAAACATAGTCTTGGAGATTACCTAAAGCATCCAACTTCTTTAAATTAATAAGGTTACTGAAAGATTGATAATGATGTCACAAGAAGGCCCCAGGAAAGAGCAAATTGAATCAATAATTACTAGTACATAGAATTGCTTATTCCTAACATTTTTTTTTTTTTTTTTTGCAGAGAGAGAGAGCGAGAGAGAGAGCACAAGCAGGGGGAGTGGGAAGGGGAGAAGCAGGCTCCCCGCTGATCAGGGAGCCTGATGAGGGTCTCGATCCCAGGACTCTGGGATCATGACCTGAGCCGAAGGCAGATGCTTAACCAACTAAGCCACCCAAGCGTCCCAGAATTTCTTAGTCCTATAGAGACACAGGCATACTCTAATTCCCACTGCCTCCTCAGGGACCTTACTCCATCACTTACCCACCTTCACCCTCCACTTGGCTCCTTCTCATAGGCCTAAAACTAGACTCAAAGTCTCTACCATCCTAAAAAACACATTGACTTGACACTGCTTCCCTAACAGGCTACCAATATCTCCCTCATTCTCTCACTGACAAACCTTAAGAAAACATAATGTAGCAGAAAGAATGTTCTATGGACTGAGTATCTCCCCCAAGATTTCATATATTGATGCCCTAATCCCCAACATAATGGTTTTTTTTTTTTTAAAGATTTTATTTATTTGCAAGAGAGAGAATGAGAGACAGAGAGCATGATAGGGAGGAGGGTCAGAGGGAGAAGCAGACTCCCTGCTGAGCAGGGAGCCTGATGTGGGACTCGATCCCGGGACTCCAGGATCATGACCTGAGCAGAAGGCAGTCGCCTAACCAACTGAGCCACCCAGGCGCCCCATAATGGTGTTTTGAGGTGGGACTGTTGAGAGGTGATTAGTGTTAGACTAAATCCTGAGGGTGGGGCCTTTAGAGTGGGATTAATGCTTTTAGAAAAAGAGAAAGAGACACAAGATCTCCCCCACCCTCCCTTCCATGTGAGGATACAGCAGGGCAGCCAACAGAAAACTAGGCAGAGGGTCCTCACCAGACACTGATCTGCTAGCATCTTGATCTTGGATTTCCCAGCCTCCAGAACGGTGAGAAATAAGTGGGTTTTTGTAGTTGTTTAAAAAATAATAATGACTCACCTTTGTAGCTGACTAACATTCCACTCTATGGATACATCACAGTTTGCTTATTCATTCCCTGGTTGAAGGGCATTTGGGTTGTTTCCAGTTTTTGGTGATCATTAATAAAGCTGCTATCCATATTTACATAGAGGTTTTTGTGTGAAAATAATTTTTTCATTTCTCTTGGATAAACACCTGTGAATGGGATTGCCGCATTATATATTAGGTAAATTTGTAAGAGACTGCTGAATTGCTTTCCCGAGTGGTTCTATCACTTTGCATATCCATCAACAATGTATTGCTTCTCATCCTTGTCCACACTTGTTAGTATTTTTAAAGTCATTTTAGTAAGTGTGTAGTGGTATCTTGCTGCAGTTTAATTTCCATTTCCTTGATGACTAATGATGTTGAACATATTTTCACACATATATATCTTTTGCCCACTTTTAAAATCAAGTGGTTTCTTTTCTTAAATAAATTGTGGTTTATTTCTCAAATAAATGTTTTGAGACACAAGTCCTTTATCAAAATATTTTTTGACCGCGTTTTCTCCCCATCTGTG